GAGCCAGATGCACCAAAAATTGAAAAAGTAGACTTAGGGGCTCAGAATTGAAGCAAGGGCTACTAGGGGGTAGCACGGATTATTGTTGGCGTTGGATCTCAGCCAGATCCAAGGCTGAAAATGTTCCGCCACATGGAAAAATGCTCCGGTCTACCCAAGGGAGACCGAAACTTGGAAAAATCGAGAAAAAGGCCCAGGAGGCCTTTTTCTTTCAAGCATTGTTGCCCCTTGGGCATTAGGACCCTAGGGGGCAGCATTTGAGCAATGAAAAAGAGGCCGGGGTAGGCCAAGAGGCAGTCCGAGTTGGTACCAACCACTTGGACTGCATGTACTTGGCCAAAATAAGGCCGAGGTACCTCCAGGAGGGCCTAGTGAGGGAATTTTGCCTTAGGGGTACCTCGGTTCACCTCAGGTACCTCGGTTCACCTTAATGGATGATCTTTGGTTCAATCTTGGTGATCTAGCCTACTCAAGTTCATGTTTTTCACTCATACACTAGTAGGAATTGCACCGCTTCTTTCATGGATGATCTTTGGTTTGACCTTGATGATCTAGCCTCCTTAGACCTTTGCTTTCACTCACATTAGTGGTAGGATGTGCTCCGATTCTTCCATGAGTGGATCCTTGTTCAAATCTTTGTGTTTGGTCCTGTTAGACTCTTGCTTTCACTCACATGGTAGTAGGTAATGTTCCGGATCTTACTTAGTTGGTCTCTCCCCTATGTGCATGTGCTTTCCATTAGTCTAGCTTCTCCTTGTCATGTTCATGTGTGTTGTGATGTTCCAGATCTTACTTAGTTGCTCTCTCCTTTAAGTGCATGAGCCTTCCACTAGTCTAGCCTCTCATTGTCAAGTTCATGCATGATGTGATGTTCCGGATCTTACTTAGTTGATCTCTTCGCTATGTGCATGTGCGTTTTCACTAGCCTAGCTTCTCCTTGTCATGTTCATGTGTGTTGTGATATTCCGGATATTACTTAGTTGATCTCTCCTCTATGTGCATGTGCTTTCCACTAGTCTAGCTTCTCCTTGTCATGTTCATGTGTGTTGTGATGTTCCGGATCTTACTTAGTTGCTCTCTCCTCTATGTGCATGAGCCTTCCACTAGTCTAGCTTCTCATTGTCATGTTCATGTGTGTTGTGATGTTTCGGATCTTACTAAGTTGATCTCTTCTCTATGTACGTGTGCTTTCCACTAGTTCTAGCTTCTCATTGTCATGTTCATATGTGATGTGATGTTCCGGATCTTACTTAGTTTATCTCTTCTCTATGTACATGTGCTTTCCACTAGTTTTAGCTTCTCATTGTCATGTTCATGTGTGTTGTGATTTTTTGAATCATACTTAGTTGATCTTTTCTCTATGTGCCTGTGCTTTCCACTAATTCTAGCTTCTCATTGTCATGTTCATGTGTGTTGAGATGCTCCGGTTCTTACTTTGATGATCTCTCCTCAAGATGCATGTGCTTTCCACTAGCTCTAGCTCCTCATTGTCAAGTTCGTGCATGATGTGATGTTCCGGATCTTACTTAGTTGATCTCTTCTCTATGTGCATGTGCTTTCCACTAGCTCTAGCTTCTCATTGGCAAGCTCATGCATGTTGTGATCTTCCGGTTCATACTTGGTGATCTCTCCTCTATGTGCATATGTTTTCCGCTAGTTCTAACTCATTGTCATGATCATTTGGGTTGTGATAATCCGGTTTCTACCTAATCGATCTCTCCTCTATGTGCATATGCTTTTCACAAGTGCTAGCTTCTCGTTGGCAAGATCATGTGTGTTGTAGTATTCGGTTCATACTAAGTTGATCTTTCACTATGGGATGGGTGACCAACATTTGGCTGCTACTACGGGGTGATGACTTGATTAGGACTAGAAATCTCTTCCCTCCCTCTTTCTCTCTCTCTCTCTTTTTCTTTCTCTCTCCCTCTACTCTCTCTCTCTCTATCTATCTTTCTCTCCC